CACCATAACATTGACCTTATCATATAGCGTGTCACTATCATATAAAGTTAAGATAATATAATATGAACCATCAATTTAACTTTGATTATGTAAATTTAACCCTCACTAAAACAGACAGGGACGGATTTAACGTCATTGAAACAGCTAGGGTAATAAGAATACAGATATCTACGGAGAAATCGTCAAATGAACGATAACCGAAGCCAGAAAAGAAAACAAATAGAGATCCCAAGTGTTAAAATGAGGGCAGTTGAACATGTTTTTTTCCCAATGACGCACATAGATGAAGACTCCCTTATTCAACAAAGGACCCAAACTTAGTCATCTTTTATGCTCTTTGCAGTAGGATACCGCAAGAGTCCGGGTTGTTGGCCACAGCTTTTCAGCACTCTGCTCTTCCAGCACTACGGGGTCAAAAGCTTATCGGCTATTCTCCATCAGGTCCAAGGGGGGTCCTGCTACAGGTGATAGACACCCCTTATCTGCAGACTTGTTAAGAAATTCTCAGAATTTATCCTACATTGTTTGTTATTTGTTGTGTAAATTGTAACAATACTGTACATGCTGTTACTGACCTCATTAATAATGTAGTTCGAATTTCTTGATGTAAATAATTGGACGACAACACAAGCTTGGTCTTTAAGATAAAGGCACAATGGGCTTTCTTACAACATATCAAGCTAAACACCTGTCTACACAGACAAAAAATAGAACATAGTGTATACATAATCATTTTTTTCACTATTTTTTTTATTGCAGCAAGGACTGAGGTCGGTTTGGTCAGTTGTAAGGGCTATCAGGAACAGCTACGTGCCTGTAATACCCCCGCTCCTAAATATGGCTGTGAATACAACGACTGCGCAAAGGACATTTCAAACTGTTCCAAGACTGGCTTTGTGTAAATTAATACACAAGATATACTGATATCGACGATTTCTTGTCATATGAATAAATTATATCATATATTGCATTTGATGGTTTCTTTTTCTAAAACAAAATGAAGTCAAGACACCCTCTCATATACATGTATAAAATATACAAACATAATGTCTTTGAGATCACAACAGATAAAAAAATATGACGTTGTTGTTTAGTTTAAAAAGTAAACAAACTGCAAACGGACAAAAGCAGGGTTTTAGATATGCAGGTTAATGAAGACTACGGGCGGATACCATCGTCCTATTAAGGAACATCTGACGTCCCTATACGGGTACTATTGTTTCTGTAGCAAATTCGTCAAGGGCGGATATACCATAGCTACCACATCCCCTGTCAGCTACCTCTCACGTGAGATTTCAGTGTGTACCTGTTTAGGGCGAGTATATCTAAACAGGTACTATTGTGTCTATAGCAAACCTGTCAACACCGGATATACCATATCTACCACAAGCCCTGTCAGCTGTATGGAATGCTTTCAGTATATACATCAACAACTGACCAAATAACGCGGTTTATGAGAACAAAGATCCTTCAGCCAATATCACCTGTCACAAGGTGCTTGGACTACTGCGGTGCTTCTACACCATGACAATACTACAGCTTTCTCAGGCTTGGATATATACCTGGTGCATTATTGATATTATAGCAACATGCATAGGCTATATTTTGTTCCAGTACCTTATATGTCATAGAGCAGTAGCTTCTTTGCTTACTATATTTCATACCATTTTCTCTTGCAGTGATTTGTAGATATAACGTCAATGTCATACAAAGTTGTCAATTTCTTGGTGGTGTTTGGGGAGTTTTATTCCCTTCTCCTCACTCCTTCTTTGGGGTCCTCGTATCCTCATTTTGGTATCAAACCAATGCTTCACATACTCCTTTGGGCCTATGGCAGTAAACTGTCATCATGTAATAACATATAACATGGATTATTAATGGTGCCAGTCTGCTGCTATACACCCCAAATCGGTCAATCCAACTCCGGAACCTAGGGTTAGCTGGACTGTATACATCAACTCTATATGGCCCAGGGTAAGACATTAAGTTGAACTCCAGGCCTATGTGATGTGACTTCCAACTCTAGCCGAAGCGACCAGGCTATGGTTTTCCATGAGCTTCGGGTCAGTCACAGTCCAAGTCCATGTTCGAACCGGGTTGTTGGCCACAGCTTTTCAGCACTCTGCTCTTCCAGCACTACGGGGTCAATAGCTTATCGGCTATTCTCCATCAGGTCCAAGGGAGGTCCTGCTACAGGTGATAGGCACCCCTTATCTGCAGACTTGTTAACACATTCTCAGAATTTATCCTACATTGTTTGTTATTTGTTGTGTAAATTGTAACAATACTGTCCATGCTGTTACTGCCCTCATTAGTAATGTAGTTCGAATTTCTTGATGTAAATAATTGGACGACAACACAAGCTTGGTCTTTAAGATAAAGGCACAATGGGCTTTCTTACAACAAATCAAGCTAAACACCTGTCTACACAGACAAAAAATAGAACATAATGTATACATAATCATTTTTTCACTATTATTTTTTTTTATTGCAGCAAGGACTGAGGTCGGTTTGGTCAGTTGTAAGGGCTATCAGGAACAGCTACGTGCCTGTAATACCCCCGCTCCTAAATATGGCTGTGAATACAACGACTGCGCAAAGGACATTTCAAACTGTTCCAAGACTGGCTGTGTGTAAATTAGTACACAAGATATACTGATATCGATGATTTCTTGTCATATGAATAAATTATGTTAAATATTGCATTTGATGGTTTCTTTTTCTAAAACAAAATGAAGTCAAGACACACTCTCATATATAAAATACACAAACATAATGTCTTTAAGATCACAACAGATAAGTAATTATGACGTTGTTGTTTAGTTTAAAAAGTAAACAAACTGTTGATAGGTGTCGACTGCAAACGGACAAAAGCAGGGTTTTAGATATGCAGGTTAATTAAGACTACGGGCGGATGTCATCGTCCTATTAAGGAACATCTGACGTCCCTATACGATTCGAATATTATCGATTTTTTTATTACGCCCAGTAATGTTCCATGTGGTTCCGTTGCTATGACCTAAGTTGTTTTCCTTGGGAACGTGACATGACTTAGATTTGACCTAGATTGACATAGTGCAAGCAAGTAATCTTTGAGATATATAATATGAGCAAACATTCTTTATAATGATAATAATATATTATGTGGAAGCGAGAGCTTGCGTCCACCAATGTATTAACATCTTTATCAGAGACACGTGGAAAATCACTAAGAGAACCTCTGGATTCCATTGTCAGAAAAAAATCTGATAAATCTCTTCCATATGAATAATACAAATGCTATGTATGAAAATCTTCTCCAGAAAAGGACCTTCTTTTGTAATTGCGTATTCAGCTATATATGAATAATTTTACTTTGTCGAGTAAGGGTAAACGTACATATCTTTGTTTAAATTTGAAGGTTTACAAACTTATAATTCAAAATGTTGAGAATATAATTAACCGGGGCCAATGCGGCCTTTGGTTTCCCCCAACGATTTCTCACCCTCGGTGAATAATTTATTAAAGTCGTTTCGCCCCTCGATCGGTTAATCAGTGTATAAGCAGTTTCAGACGGATTTGTTAGAACGAGATCAGTGGCATGCTGTAATGTTGTAAATCAACACAGTCAAAATCGTTATCAATATGTGTTGTGTCAATACATTTACGTCGGTTTTATTTAAAAGTCTCCATGAAACGACGTCACTATAGTGTGTATTCAGCGTTTCACAAAATAAATACCGCATTTAGGAACCTCTGATGTTGGCAACAGCCTGACAACGACGGCGCATTGAAGCGATGAGTCGGTTCATAGACCTAAATCGGATCCTCTGTCACTCTTCCTTTATGGCCGTCCTTAACCGGTCCAACGGGTCCCAGATTTAAAACGTCAGAATTCTCAATGGAAATAAACAACCAAATCGCAATAGTTTAGTTTGTTCACGAAACATAGGTGTTGACAGTTTTTGCCATATCTCATCATCATAAATGACATTTCTCTATCACCTTTTATTTGTATCGTTATATTTTATGCGCTACTATTGACATTTTACGCGCTACCCCAAGTAATACATTTCATATAATAATTTCATTTATAGCCGCCGAAGTAGGAAATACATGCCACACACGTGTCACAGAAGTCAGACCTGGTCTTCTCGGGGAATGCATGTTTGCACTTCAAAACTACTGGTTAGATATGACTATCATTTAAACTGGTTTTCGATATTTAATGATTATCAAAACTAATCTTAATGAAGGATACTCATGATCATTAAGATTTTAACCATAAGCATGCATGCCATGGACAATGGCAAGATTGTTAGACTCGAGCTTTGAAAAGGCTTTTGGTAGCAGTATGAAAGATGACGTCCCAGCAATGTTTGAGGGTTTGCTGTCCCTCATTTATTCCCGGTTTGAAACATTTGGGGGAATATGGGCTGCTGTAATCTGAAAATAATAGCGACCCAAACAGTGGCAATGTAACTTTAGAACGGACAACGGCTTTTTTTTCAATTTCATATCGGCATGAACATTGGAAAAAAATGTCGTTCAATCCTTATATTTACTTTCTGAATATTTAGTTATTATTGACCTTAATACATATTTTCCCTTATATTTTCGATATTGAAGTGCCTGTGTTGTCAGAGTAAACGAGATTCCTTGAACAGCTTAACGTCACCAAAATTTCTTCTGGTAATGCTTATAGGGGACTTGTAATGGAAATGTAGCAGTATAAAGTGTGGAGACACTGAGGAAATCCGACGACATAAATTTGTACATTTCTCTAAAAATATGTCAATAATCTTTACTTTCGTCTTTGTAACATTTGGAAATTGTTATGTCTTTCCTTGAGAGTCCTTCGACAACATTACTCTTGTAATGTGATTAAATCACGGAACAATCATATTAATAACACATGTTCTTGATTCAGTAACCAATAATCGTTGACTTGCATACATGCCTGCTACATATTGATCCATTGTCACACTGTGACGCCGATCATTATAACGGTGTAAGGGCGGCAGTCATCATGTGCTTTGGCTTCAGTATGAATGTTCAAACTTTGTTTGGTACTAGTACATGTTATGTTCCAGTGCTGATTTAGACAAGCATGGATATATGTCGTTATAAAATGATAATTGACATAGGTGTTTATGCTGTGTTTATGGCATGTGTCTGTTTGACAAAATCTGAGTTGTGTGCTAAGTGGGAAGATCGTGAGGCGGCCCCGAATGATGGACACGTCTTCAGAGAAATACAGCCATCAGGATATATCAAATGTTTGAAGGAATGTAAACTGTCTACAGAATGTGCGGACATCGTATTTAACAGGGAACAATTATACTGTGGCCTCGTCAGGAAGTCGACCCAAGTTCCCTCTCCGATAGATTTGTCGGTAAGTTCTAATGTTCAGAACAATATATGACTAATTATCAGTTGACCTTTAATGACCTTTAACTGGACGGTAAAAGGTCCAAGGTTCGAATACTTAAAAACCTGTCAAGTAAAACTTAGCTTCAATGTGAATTGTTAACGTTTCAAATTGGTTTATTTTCAAAATGTTCTTATAACTACTTACATTATAGCAGGGAACAGAAAATACACCCAGCCAGGATTTATTATGTATGAAATTTTTGTTTTATTACTATACCTTTTTAATATTCGGGATGCTTCTGTTTTTTGTACGTGACACAATTTGTTTTCCCTTAAGTACAGCAGTTAACTTGACCAAATGGGTAAAGTTTCGGTCAAATCCGTTATATTTTTGGGTTTGTCACTATTTTTCTCTCTTTCATTGGTTTTTCATGACAGAATGACAGATTGTCAGTGACAAATATCACATATAATTACATTTTTTAGCATAATTTTGTGGGTCGTCTGTACACTAATACTTGAAAGTAAATACATTATGATCATTATTCAGTGACATAATCATAATTAAACAAGTACAACGAAAATAATATTATTGATCACAAGAAAACATGGAATTTAAATACATGAAATCAGATAAATAGAACATCACATGCAATAGCGATTTGTTGTTTAACTGCCGTATTGAAATCAGTTGGTCTGGCTATATGCCACACGAGAAATGTATTTGGTTGAAATTGTTTTTGTTTTTTTCTTCTTTTGTTTTCGTTATTTATTCTTATTCTTTAGATGTAGTTATAGATTTGCTTAGCCCAATCTGTAGATTTACCTGACTAGATCAATATATGTCTATGTTGACCATATGAGGTAAATAGTATTTACTCCCATTTATGTGATTGATTAAAGACATTCGATATATTGTTTAAGTAGTAAAAGATGGATATTTCAGTGGTGACGAGTAATGCTAACAAATTACTTGATTTGCCATAGCAACAATAAAAAAGGACAAACATCATAGACATTCGGAACCATGCATAGCAAAACATTCACTGATACTCATCAATTTCTACGTATATCCTTACTAATGATCTAGGAATTAGGTGCGTCACAATATTGATAATATCACAATTACTGACATTGTTGCAAGTATAAAATGTTTCACGTAATGTAAATGCTTTGAAGAGTACATGAAAAATAACTTCTCTTGCAGACACAACTTGGACCATGCGCCACAATATCATGTGGGGTAGACGAAAGATGCATTGAATCGACACGTGGGCCTGGTGTTTGTATAAACGCGAGTAAGTTGTTTTAGTTTTCCTAGTCGTTTAAATTGGGTTTTAGATCGTCTTTATTTTTCCATGTTGTGATTTTCACCTGTAAGTACATTATGCAAAGAAAGAAAAATGTACGTGTAATAGGTCGCATATTATTACTACATGTAACTACAGAAAATCAGTATTTGTGTTTGTTCCGATAGTTTTCACAATCCAGATGCTCATCTGTTGACCTACGTGGGATTCAGATACCCTGTGGAATCATTTATTTTCGTGGGGTTAACATTTCGTGGTTTTCAAAATTATGTTTTCGTGGGGATTTAATTTCGTGGATTTTTGTTATCCACGAAATAAACGAAATTTAATGTCCAACGAAATTTTATGATTTTATAGTATATAATTTTGCTTTGGCATACTCATTCTCCAATTATGGCTATGAATATTCCACATATTGCGCGCTGTGTCACCGTCATTATTGTTATGGAGTACTTAAGGAATAGGCCATTAACTATCTATCAATACTTTATTTGAAAATATAGATATCCAATAGTGATTCACAATTAAAAGCTTTGACGACCATTACGTGTATATGGACAAAACATCAAATTTAACGGTAGTTTAGTCATCGATGACTTTATGGTCGATTGATCGATTTCACTACTATGTGGACACAGGTAAAACAAGTGATTGTAGAGTTTTAAATACTAGTACATCAGTACTTATACACAGGTAAAACAAGTGACTGTAGAGTTTTAAATACTAGTTTATCAGTACTTATACACAGGTAAAACAAGTAAATGTAGAGTTTTAAATACTAGTATATCAGAACTTATGCACAGGTAAAACAAGTGATTGTAGTGTTATAAATACTAGTTTATCAGTACTTATACACAGGTAAAACAAGTGATTGTAGAGTTTTAAATACTAGTATATCAGAACTTATACACAGGTTAAACAAGTAAATGTAGAGTTTTAAATACTAGTATATCAGAACTTATGCACAGGTAAAACAAGTGATTGTAGTGTTATAAATAATAGTTTATCAGTACTTATACACAGGTACAACAAGTGATTGTAGAGTTTTAAATACCAGTATATCAGAACTTATACACAGGTTAAACAAGTAAATGTAGAGTTTTAAATACTAGTATTTCAGAACTCATACACAGGTAAAACAAGTGATTGTAGAGATTTAAATACTAGTATATCAGTACTTATAAACAGGTAAAACAAGTGATTGTAGAGTTTTAAATGCTAGTTTATCAGTACTTATACACAGGTAAAACAAGTAAATGTAGAGTTTTAAATACTAGTATTTCAGAACTTATACACAGGTAAAACAAGTGATTGTAGAGTTTTAAATACTAGTATATCAGTACTTATACACAGGTAAAACAAGTGATTGTAGAGTTTTACCAGGAACGCTGTCTCATTAAGGTTTTCCTACCCAGAAACAATTGATTGGTTCACCACTGTCGCTATTGTTCATGCCGCGGTAGATATCATTGTTAGTTACTGACGTGTAATACATCTTCTTAACTGTTAATTGTTATTATTGACAGGGAGGCTGTTCGTAATTGCAGAAAATGCATGTAATAGTGAGTTAAGAGTTAAGTACTGTGTACAATTTCTCAGTGTAAATTTACTTGGTCGATACTGTTACGCACTAATGGATTCTAGAAAGCTTTACAATATTGAATGAGGAAGAAGCACACAGAACATTTATTAATTACTGTTTTAATACAAAAGAATGAGTTTCGTCCAAGAATTGATTTTATAAATTTTGTATTTAAGCAATGTTTACATTTAGCTAAATGTGTGAATAAGATGTGTATTTTAATATCTCTACATGATAAAACCCCACATCAGACCATTTACATAAAATCAGTGAATTACCTGAAGATATGCCTTAAAACAAAATTATTTTATTCTTTATACAGTGACATGTGATGGGAAATATTTCCAAAATAGATGCTTTTTCGAAGGTCATTCCTCGGGCGATTGGACCGTCGGGCGGGTGAGTGCTCAATGTCAGTTATATATGCACGTGCTGATACCACACCTATTAATATCATATCTTTACATTTGATAAATCCAGATTCTGATAACTTACTTCCTTGTGTGACAAATCAGAGAGTAGAAATCATGTATGATATATATTGCGCTATACAGTGTTATATATTATGAAATCAGATTATTATACAATGATATACGTCATAAAACTACAGAACGATACGATGGATCTTTAATAACAATAAAGTAGTATACGATGACTTACAATATAGAGTATATTACAGCGTCATAAATTATAACAGTCATGTTGTACAGTTAATTATATTTTACCAGTAAAATGTCCGGAGTGTTATTTTTTTTACTCCAATGAGAAATATCAAACAGTATTTTCACCAAAAAAACATATTTTTTTTTATCAGATTAATAGCAATGAACATAGAATACAAAACTAATTAATACAATTACCGATCAGTATGCTTGAAATGTATTTCGTTCTTAATTATGATGTCAGTGGAACCGTTAGATATACTCTACAAAATGCAATGAAATACATTATAATAGTACAGTATAGTACAAAGTGAATATAAAAGTAGACCAGTACAATACAATGAATGCATTGGTATAAATTACTGTACATTGAAAAAAGCAATGCATAATAAAAGTACATCATTATATAATTATATTCACTATCATAATACGGTACGATACAGTGCCATCTATTGATTATTATGATAGTACAGTTTTCTACAATGACATCATTTGACAGTTAAAATTTGTTATTGCTATTGCTCTGTATGGTGACTGTAAGACACGTACATGTGATTACATCTATATTTGGTAATAAATACAGAAAGGCAAACATGAATTAAATTTCATAATACAACTTTTTTCTTCCTTTAAGACTCACCTGTAACTATAAGTTTCTTGAGGAACTTTATTCTTGACACTCCTATCTAGATTCCTCTTGGTTCTTAGTTGTGAGTGAAATTTTGAAATTTGACAATTAAGGTTTGTTATCGCTATTTCTTGGAAAGCAGAAGATGCATCTTTTCCTCGAATTTTCCATCTAGGTTCTTCTTGGTTCTTGGTGCGTGTTTGAACAAGAAACAAAAAGACCACTACGCCAGACATCATTAATTAGATCATTGAAGATTTTTTTCACTATTTCTCAAGGCAAAGAATAGAATTTATTAAAATAACATTTGTGACCTATTTTTCATATATCAATATGAGCTTAAAAATAAGAAAAAGATGTCATCCAAGAAATAGAAATATCATTTTTAGTCAATAAATCAAACCCCAGACTTACTTGGAAAGTACAATGTCAAACACAGCTGTATGAAGTTCCAAACAAAAATAATTACACGAGGGAAATACTATTTACATGACTATCAATACAACAAGTATTTAACATGTGTTTCCCCTGTTCGTATTTCCCTGAAGTTTGCTGTTACCTTGTAGCTAGGATATGACACACTATACATAATATACTAGTTAAAGACAGTCTCTGTTTTAGCCAAAAGGTTTTAATTTTTAATGATATAAATGTTTTAGGCACGATTTTGTTGTCTCTGTATTTCTATAATTTAGAGCGGTTAGGCAGGGCCTTTCGATCTTTTGACTCTACTGCCTATTGTCGTATGTATATCCACTGAAGTTCGTTAACATTGGCCACCTAAAGAAATAATGTTATTGTGGGAAATAAATACTGAACGAATGTTTAAAAACCAATATCAGCTTAAAGATGAATGTATAATCTATCGAATTATGATTTTAATAATATGATTATGATATAGTAATCCTTATCTTGTGAAGGCTTCAGATATCAAAGTTCAAGTGTTTTATTTGAAATCATATTAAAAGGCTTGTAGAATCTCCGAGTTATAGGTGATTGAATTGATTGACTCCTTCATTTTCAATACGCAAAACCTCGGCTTTCAGAAAACCTAGGCTTCACGACTTGAAATACATTCATATATTTCACCAAATCAAAATAGGAGCAAAATACTGAGACTGGCTGTATATACATATTTTGACTGAAAATAATAAATAACTGATTAGTTTCTATTGGCTAAAGGCAATGCAGAAATGGAAATTGTTTCTCTGTTGTAGGATCAATGCAGACAGCTTGGTGGAAGTTTAGTGACGATTGAATCTACCGACGTCAATAGCTTGATACTAACAGTAACAACAGCAGGAGGTACACAATGACTACATGTATATACTAACAGTAACAACAGCAGGAGGTACACACTGACTACATTTATATACATAATACCTAACAACATCAGGAGGTACACACTGACTACATGTATATACATAATACCTAACAAAATCAGGAGGTACAAACGGACTACATTTATATACATAATAACTAACAACAGCAGCAGGTACACACTGACTACATGTATATACATAATACCTAACAACAGCAGGAGTTACATACTGACTACATGTATATACATAATACTTAACAACAGCAGGAGGTAAAAACTGACTTCATTTAAATACATAATACCTAACAACAGCAGCAGGTACACACTGACTACATTTGTATACATAATACCTAACAACATCAGGTGGTATAGACAGCATTAATGTATTTATGACATTACAACATCAGCAGGTACAGACAACATAAGTGTTTAGATTACATTACAACATCGGGAGGTACAGATAATTTTAATGTATATAAAACATAACAACATCGTTAGGTTAGACAACATTAATGTTTAAGATTCGTAACAACACCAGGTGGTACAGACAGCATTACTGTTTACAGTACATTACAACATCGGGAACTAAGACAACATTAATGTGTATATTACATTACAACATCAGCAGATACAGACAACATAAATGTGTATATTACATTACAACATCGGGAGGTAAAGACAACACAAATGTGTATATTACATTACAACATCAGCAGGTACAGACAACATAAATGTGTATATTACATTACAATATCGGGAGGTACGACAACATTAATGAATATATTACATTACAACATCAGCAGGTACAGACAACATAAATGTGTATATTACATTACAACATCGGGAGGTAAGACAGCATTAATGAATATATTACATTACAACATCAGCAGGTACAGACAACATAAATGTGTATATCACATTACAACATCGGGAGGTAAGACAACATTAATGTTTATATTACATTACAACATCAGCAGGTACAGACAACATAAATGTGTATATTACATTACAACATCGGGAGGTAAGACAACATTAATGAATATATTACATTACAACATCAGCAGGTACAGACAACATAAATGTGTATATTACATTACAACATCGGGAGGTAAGACAACATTAATGAATATATTACATTACAACATCAGCAGGTACAGACAACATAAATGTGTATATTACATTACAACATCAGGAGGTAAGACAACATTAATGAAAATATTACATTACAACATCAGCAGGTACAGACAACATAAATGTGTATATTACATTACAACATCGGGAGGTAAGACAACATTAATGTTTATATTACATTACAACATCAGCAGGTACAGACAACATAAATGTGTATATTACATTACAACATCGGTAGGTAAGACAACAATAATGCTTAAAGTTCGTAACAAAATCGGGAGGTACAGACAGCATTAATGTATACAGTACATTGAAACATCGGAGGTACAGACAATATTAATGTTTAAAGTTCGTACCAACACCAGGTGGTACAGACAGCATTACTGTATACAGTACATTACAACATCGGGAGGTAAACCAGCATTAATGTTTAAAGTTCGTAACAACATTTGGAGGTAAGACAACATTAATGTTTATATGACATTACAACATCAGCAGGTACAGACAACATAAATGTGTATATTACATTACTTAAATACTAGTATTTCAGAACTTATACACAGGTAAAACAAGTGACTGTAGAGTTTTAAATACTAGTACATCAGTACTTATACACAGGTAAAACAAGTGACTGTAGAGTTTTAAATACTAGTATATCAGAACTTATACACAGGTAAAACAAGTAAATGTAGAGTTTTACCTGTGTATAAGTTCTGAAATACTAGTATTTAAGTAATGTAATATACAGATTTATGTTGTCTGTCCCTGCTGATGTTGTAATCTAATATATTCATTAATGCTGTCTTACCTCCCGATGGTGTAATGTAATATACAGATTTATGTTGTCTGTACCTGCCGATGTTGTAATGTAAGATATTCATTAATGTTGTCGTACCTCCCGATATTGTAATGTAATATATTAATTAATGTTGTCTTAGTTCCCGATGTTGTAATGAACTTTATACATTAATATTGTCTGTACATCCCGATGTTGTAATGAACTTTATCCAGTAATGCTGTCTGTACCACCTGGTGTTGGTACGAACTTTAAGCATTATTGTTGTCTTACCTACCGATGTTGTAAGGTAATATACACATTTATATTGTCTGTACCTGCTTATGTTGTAATGTAATCTAAACACTTATGTTGTCTGTACCGGCTGATGTTGTAATGTAATGTATTCATTAATGTTGTCTTCCCTCCTGATGTTGTAATGTTATATACAAATTTATGATGTCTGTAGCTGCTGATGTTGTAATGCAATATATTCATTAATGTTGTCTTACCGCCTGAAGTTGTAATGTAATATCCACATTTATGTTGTCGGTACCTGCTGATGTTATTACGAACTGTAAACATTTATATTGTCTGTACCTCCCGACGTTGTTACGAATATTAAACATTAATATTGTCTCTACCTCCCGATGTTGTAATGAACTTTATACATTAATATTGTCCGTACCTCCCGATTTTGGTACGAACTTTAAGCATTATTGTTGTCTTACCTACCGATGTTGTAATGTCATAAATACATTAATGCTGTCTATACCACCTGATGTTGTTAGGTAATTTATGTTGTCTGTACCGGCTGATGTTGTAATGCAATATATTCATTAATTCTGTCTTACCTCCCGATTTTGTTACGAACTTTATACATTAATATTGTCTGTACCTGCTGCTGTTGTTAGTTATTATGTATATAAATGTAGTCAGTTTGTACCTCCTAATGTTGTTAGGTATTTGTAATGTAATATACAGATTTATGTTGTCTGTTCCTGCTGATGTTGTGACGAAGTGTAAACATTTATATTATCTTGTCTACCGATGTTGTTACGAACTGTAAACATTTATATTGTCTTGTCTCCCGATGTTGCTACGAACCTTAAACATGAATGTTGTCTTACCTAATGATGTTGTAATGTAACATACACATTTATGTTGTCTGGACCTGCTGATGTTGTCATGTAATATTTTCATTAATGTTGTCTTACGTCCAAATGTTGTTACGAACCCTAAACATTCATGTTGTCTTACCTCCCGATTTTGGTACGAACTTTAAGCATTATTGTTGTCTTACCTACCGATGTTGTAAGGTAATATACACATTTATGGTGTCTGTACCTGCTGATGTTGTGACGAAGTGTAAACATTTATATTGTCTGTACCTGCTGCTGTTGTTAGTTATTATGTATATAAATGTAGTCAGTGTGTACCTCCTGCTGTTGTTACTGTTAGTATATACATGGAGTCAGTGTGTACCTGCTGCTGTTGTTAGTTATTATGTATATAAATGTAGTCCGTTTGTACCTCCTGCTTTTGTTAGGTATTATGTATATACATGTAGTCAGTATGTAACTCCTGCTGTTGTTACTGTTAGTATATACATGTAGCCAGTGTGTACCTCCTGCGGTTGTTACTGTTAGTATATACATGTAGTCAGTATGTAACTCCTGCTGTTGTTACTGTTAGTATATACATGTAGCCAGTGTGTACCTCCTGCGGTTGTTACTGTTAGTATATACATGTAGCCAGTGTGTACCTCCTGCGGTTGTTACTGTTAGTATATACATGTAGCCAGTGTGTACCTCCTGATGTTGTAATGTAGTATACACATTTATGTTATCTGTACCTGCTGATGTCGTAATGTAATATAAACCTTACTGTTGTCTTACCTCCGATGTTGTAATGTAACATACACATTTATGTTGGCTGTACCTGCTGATGTTATTACGAACTGTAAACATTTATATTGTCTTGTCTCCCGATGTTGTTATGAACCTTAAACATTAACGTTGTCTTACCTCCCCATGTTGTAATGTGATATATACATTAATGTTTAAGGATCGTAACAACATCGGGAGGCAAGACAACATTAATGTGTATATTACATTATTACATTACAACAGCAGCAGGTACAGACACCATAAATGTGTATATCACATTAAAACATCGGGAGGTAAAGACAACACAAATGTGTATATTACATTTATGTTGTCTGTCCCTGCTGATGTTGTAATGTGATATATACATTAATGTTTAAGGTTCGTAAAAACATCGGGAGGTACATACAACATAAATGTGTATATTACCTTACAACATCGGTAGGTAAGACAACAATAATGCTTAAAGTTCGTACCAAAATCGGGAGGTAAGACAGAATTAATGAATATATTACATTACAAAATCGGGAGGTACAAACAACTATATTAATGTTTAAAATTCGTAACAACACCGGGAGGTACAGACAACATTCCTGTATACAGTACATTACACCATCGGGAGGTCAGACAACATTAATGTATATATCACATTACAACATCGGAGGTAAGACAACAGTAAGGTTTATATTACGCTACAACATCAGCAGGGACAGACAACATAAATCTGTATATTACATTACACCATCGGGAGGTAAGACAGAATTAATGAATATATTACATCACAACATCAGCAGGTAAAGACAACATAAATGTGTATACTACATTACAACATCATTAGGTAAGACAACATTCATGTTTAAGGTTCGTAAAAACATCGGGAGGTACGGACAACATTAATGTTTCAGGTTCGTAACAACACCGGGAGGTACAGACAGGATTAATGTATAAAGTTCATTACACCATTGGGAGGAAAGACAAAATTAATGTTTAAGGTTCATAACAACATCGGGAGGAAAACCAGCATTAATGTTTATATTTCATTACAACATCAGCCGGTACAGACAACATAAGTGTGTATATCACATTAAAACATCGGGAGGTACAGACAGCATTACTGTATACAGTACATTACAACATCGGGAGGTAAGACAACATTAATGTTTAAGGTTCGTAACAACATCGGGAGACAAGACAATATAAATGTTTACAGTTCGTAACAACATCAGCAGGTACAGATAACATTAATGTTTTAAGTAAGTAATAACACCAAAAGGTACAGACAACAGTATTGTATATAAATCATAATGATGTATCAGTCAGGAGAAACAGACTTCACTTACATGAAAAGTAACAACATTCGGATTGTTATGGTCATAAAAATAAAATGGGTTTTGACAAAAATAGAGGTAAACTGCAAAAGAAGCATCACATGTGATAATTACTGAAGCATTGTAATTGACAGTGACAGAAACGTTACGGTTGATAAAAATATTTAAAAGAACCTTTATTGTGAGATATTGTTTTTAAAATCACTATCAGACTTAGTTGTGATATAAATTATTACAAAACGCCTTTAATGTAACAGCAAATGAGAACAGATTACTTTATTTTATTTCATTCAGTGTTTTGGGTTGGCGGAAACGACCTAGGAGCAGAAGGCACATGGACTTGGATAGAGAATGATCAGCAAATCAATCTCAACTCCCATTGGGCCTTAAGAAAGCCATCGGTCGCGTCTGACGTCAACTGTTTAGGCGTGACGTCTGCGGGCGTTTGGATTGATGTGGATTGCTCACTTTCGGCAGCATATATCTGTCAAACGTACCTCACACAATAAAATGGTTTCCTTTTTAAAACCGAATAAAGCCTTATATAAAAAAAATATCGGATGGTGTGTATTATTTATTATCTATCCTGAAACATGTCTACAAATCTATTAATTCGGAGATTACTATACCTACATTTATTTCAAAGAAATTATTGATACATCCTAGAAAGATTCGGAAGAAGTCGCATGGATATTTTAAAAGGAAAATAGCAAAAAAATATATGTGTGTTGTCTTTTAAGACCGCGAGTGTTGATGTATGTTAGTGCGTGATTTTAAATTAAAATAAATCCAGGGATTTTTGACAATAAGTATAGTCTTCATAAGCATCAAGAAAAGTCTTCATACAGTTGGTAAGACTGGGGAAGAATAGATCGGTTTTACTTATTGAAGGAGTTCAGGAAACACCACGTATTAAGTATGAACAATAATACAATGCAGATGAAATGTCTAAAACTCATCGCATGCTACTAACTCTTTGTAATCTTTGTAACGTGTTAATATCGCATATCAGTTTAGGTTATATTTCTAGTTGTTCTATAAGACTTTTCCATTGGAGCAATACATGTTTTACCCGTCGTATATTCACAATGCTAGGCGTTTGGAAGTCCAAGGTCAGTCATGTGTAATTTACGTAAATAGGTAGTCCATATATGGATGCAATTACAATACACGCCATGATCATCGTCTTGTACATTTTGAATACGAGCTGAAACCAGAGAAATACGTCACCAAGGTTATGAAGTGGTAGCACAGCCAGTAGTTCTCACGAAGGAGTAGCATTCAACTTAATGTAGAAGCTGGTTGGCATTCTCGTCCAAACCTCTCCTCTACGTGAAAGAACTATCTGCATCCGTAGGAATACAAGGCAGGTCCCATTCTGAGAAATACCATGTGTGAGTAAATGCGCAGCTGGCTTTATGTCACAGGACGAGTTAAGTGCAGGTCTGACATTTTTGAATCATACTATATTGCCATCAAAAAGGTTACAGAATATGATGGTTTCGCTAAAGAACGACTGATTATGATGGTTTGGTACAATATAATACTCTGAGTTGTTGTTTACACTGCTTTAATTGCTAGCACATCAGTGGTAGAGAAGTCCGTGCATTTATCGGGAGAAAGCGTGTTTTTCGTCTTGGGTATCAGAAATCCAGCTGTGTTTATAGCTGGTTCCATGTACCAGATTTGTGAGGATTTGCAGATGAAGCATTATCTTTTCACTGCCTTTTCTCTGGATTTGTAGTCGTTTCTGTGAATCCCGTTGCACGTCGTTGAACCTTTTCGATTGAGTCATTGTCAGTGTGGAAATAAGGATCTCATACAGTTCAAGCGTATTCCAAAATAGATAGACTGCACGAGTGAGTCATATGCAAGACGTTTACGCTCAACTGGGTAGTGCCTTTGGAGGAATTCTAGGGATGACAGCCTTTCTGACAGATGTTACAGATGTGATTGCCAAGGGAGGTCATTCGATATATTAACTTCCAAGTGTGGAATCGATATGTTTTAGGTATCCAGCTGACCAAATATTGTTGATTCTTATATGCTAGCTATGCCGCATCCCGCCATTTCTTTGCTCATGCCTCTTGGTGGTGCAAGGTTTCATGAGAAATGTAATGGTATTTTATGTTTCTGATCTGCTTGTAAAGGGGACAATTATCCACCAATAGTTGCAATTGCGATGATATACATTCGGGTATGTTGTTTTAAATGGCATAACAATGAGGCATTTAAATCTCCCTTGTGGTACTTTAGAATTAATATTGCAATGCAAGGGTTCTCTAATGGTAACTGAATTCATTTGACAATTTTGAATAAAGTTCCTATGAATTCAACCTTTTGTTAATTACTCTTACCCGAACTTTTTTTTCACTTTCTTAAACGATTTCGGGTCAGATTTCGATGTTTACCTTCTTTCAGTTGCTAGTCTTTGGTATTTTATAAAGATTATATCTAATGTTTTCCTATACCTAGTACTAGAAAATATTAATCTGTCTTTATTTTAAGCATTTTCACACTTTCCATGACCTGACAAAGTTTTACTAACGCTGGTGACATCTAGATGAGAACGATGGTTTATCACCACTTTATTAAGACATTGTAATTTGATTTGTGTGTCCAAAAACTGTTTTGGCTGTATTGGTCAATATTTCCTAAATGTGACATGGCGTTCTTATAACTTTTTAAAGATTTCATTTTCCGCCTATTTCCTACGAATTTTTTATGATATCCCTTCATAATCATTTACTAAACCGTTAATATAATTCTTAGTTTGTTCTGCTAGTCACTTAATTAACGTGTTACGTTTCATCTGGGACTTGTTTTTTGTAACCACGTGATACGACGGTATGTTTTGATCCATGAAGCGTTACATCGATTCGGTCATGGACATCCAATATTTATGGTTAAAAATCGATTTAGCTCAAAGTTGAAACACTTCAGCTTACATAGTCAGGTAATCTACGATCCAATACCCTTGTCACTCTCAATTTTACCATTTACTGTATTGAGGATTACAAAGATCATGAAGTTTGTCATCGTAGTTATTCGGTTTTGATTTACATTGACTAGCTTTATCGAGCTGGATAGATATGAATGCTATCGGTTTGATCAATATCCAATGGATCAATTATATTTTTATCGAGTACAAGAGAATCGGACAGCTTATTTGTTTTTAGCAGTGAGTTCCCTTACAGTGTTATTTTACTGTCATTCCGTGATAACTGCAACATTCCTCCTCCGTTTCATTTATAAAAATAAGCATTGGATACGGGATGATTTGAGTTAACAGATAGGTAATAGACGCATCCAAGCTGTAAATCTCAATGTTCACAAAGAATGTATTTGGATAGTATAATTAACAAAAAAGGACAAAACTAGATAAATGTAGCTCTATTTTTTTTACTTCAATTATAGCAATGCCTGTTGGTTTTCTTGTACATTTAGATCGTTGAGCAACGAAATATGCAAACCTTAAAGATATCAGACATCTATTTTATTTCCGATAAAATTGGAATATCAATCGATTTGCTGATATTCTAAAATTCAGGTAATATAAGTTTTGTATTGAAAAATGACATGTTGAGTCCTGACCTACAGATATACATTCCATTAGCCTGTATATATACTGTATATGTGCAAACATCTAATCTATATACTTACCATGTCAATTGTGGTTGTATGCGCGTTAATGAACGTGATACACGCTTAATTATTCAAGTAATATTCTTTATACGGCAAACGATGTATATTATTTAAGGACTGAATTGCATCTTTTTAACATTTATAAGGTATGCAACTACACCATTGCACGGAACTGTGTTGCCTGCCATCGAACAATGATATAAAGATAAATTTAACCCTTATATTTACGTTAAAAACAACAAAGGCAGTATGATATCATAGTGGTCTCTTTCAGTTCAAAATACATTTAAAACAAACTGTTTCACAAACTGCCGGAACAGCAATACAAACAGAAATATATATGTATGTTTATAGAATTGTTTACCTATGAATAAATATGTATATAAGTATATATTTTAAGTTATCTTTGTTTGTGTTGAACCTGTGTAACATTTTGTATACCCGTACGTAAATATAATTATATATACAATATAAACATATAAGTATTTTTAAATGTTGTAAGTAATCTTTGTGTTCAAAAATGAATTTGAAAACTGTTTGTGATGAGGATGGTGTGCGTAGAGGATGGTGTGTGATGTTGATATCTGTTTTGTTCTCCATAATATTTTAAGAAGTCGTTGATATCTGACCCGTGTGAAAATTATACGTATGAGGTAAACACAAAACAAATGGTTTCGGACCAATCGCTGCGGTGAAGAACACGTATATACTCTTGACTCTGTGCTTAGCGACAGGAGATCAGCTTGACAATAGTCCTTTGGTTGCTGTATTGAAATGGAAAAAAACACAAATGTGTTGCGGTACAAACATGTTAAAATAGAATATAATGAATATTTTCTTTCGTTTGACGTCACTTTCAGGTGAAGAAAACTTGTAGCTTACCACCGACGAGCTTCTCAATGTACATCAATAATCTTGCGAAAAAACTGAACTCAGCACAGTAGATGTTTCGGATATATTTCAAGCAAATAAATGTAATAAAGAAACACGCTTCAACCTTTCAGCAGAGTTAAATTTGTCATTTTTCGTTGCAATCATATTCAACTTATGAACTGAAGTGTTGGTTTGTAATTTGTCTTAAATTAATAAAAAGTTTCCCACTGAATTTATTTCATTAAGTGTTAATTCAGGGTAGGTGATAAAAGCGTAGCAGTGTCGTCACACTGAACTTGTAAACCGACGGATAAGATGAGATGGATTGTTGTCCCATTCAACTGTCAACGCCTGGGGCAGATCCTGCAAGTTAAACAGCTGGTTTGGACGTTTCCTAACGCGTCGCTTAGGAAAATCGCAAACGTGCTCTATCAACAACATGTCGGGATACTTAGCTGGCCAATCAAACACCCGAACATTGTTTTGGTGCAAAAAGTTCTGCTTACGCAACTGGTATAAATAGCGCCTGTTCCATGAGGATATAGAAACGGGGGTACAACCAGCCTCAAAATTTCGTCCTGATAACGCACCCATTCCCAGGCACTGCAAACAGTTTGGTAAGTTTGCAACAATAAATAGATAATTATTTACATTCTACTGGCAGATTAATGCCGAATATTTCCATTTGCTCTGTATTGCCACTATATAACTTTACCAAACAAAATACGAAGATATCAGATCAGAATTCTCACACAATTCCCATTGGTGTAGTGATATGAAGAACATGTTCGTGACGTCGTGACTAAATGACGTCGTTTTGACCGATGATCAATGTAACTATTTATGTAGTTATGTTGTATAAAAGGTGAATATCCTCACGGTGGAAGATATTGATTAAATTGTTGACATTAAATTAATGATTTTGTGTTGATTTCCAAGAACTGTATTTTTTGCCGGGAACGGTCGCGTGTACTCGTGACGTCACAGAAACAAGCCCCCATTGACAGACAGCGCG